TTCCAAAACAATCAGTACAGATGAACTTCTGAAATAATAATTAATTGGAGTAAGATGGAGAATGGCTAAAGAGGAAAGAAGTAGAAAGTAAAAGGAAAAGCTAGGGTTCTTTGCCTCACTACTAGAGTCTCACTACTCACTGTCCAGGGATGATCAATGCTTCTACCCTTAACCTGAACCCAATCTGGGAATCATCTGGTTGCTATCTCATTGTTATCCTATACTGGATGGTCACCCCCTGGCCTTAGCATATCTCATATAGTGACTACTCTTGTCAGAACTACTCTCTTAAATTCCTGGTAGAATTAACTACTCTTAGTTCTTTATTTATTCTCCGGAAAAAAAGTTCTGACCTGTTTCTGCACCATACTCTCTCCTCTGCATTTTGAAAATTTTCCTATCATTCTGAAGCAATCTACTGTTGATCAATTTAATTCTAGTATTTATTAAGAAGTTTCTATGTACAAGACATTGTGGTAGGCCACTGTGCTGGGGATACAAAGACAAAAAAGAAAAAAGTCATGAGTTTCAAAGAAGCTCGAATTTTATGGGGGGGGAGGGAACAACATGTATATAGATAAGTAAACATAAGAGAATCTGATCAGGGAGAAAACACTAACCAAAGTAGGGGTGGAAGAGCAGGAATGGAGAAATGAGAAAAGTCTTTATAGAAGAGATAGCACACAAGCACAGCATTAAAGAAATGAAAGATTCTAAGAGGCAGAAGTAAGAACAGAGCACCCATCTTGAGCTCAGAATTTTTATTTTTCAGAGGTAGAAATTTTAAATGATTATAAGCCATACAGAATCACCAGAAAAATATAGATGTTAAAAAAGATAGGTCTTTTTTTTTTAAGTGAGGCAGTTGGGATTAAGTGACTTGCCCACAGTCACACAGCTAGGAAGTATTATGAGTCTGAGGTTTGAACTCAGGTCCTCCTGACTCCAGGGCTGGTGTTCTATCCACTGCTCCACCTAACTGCCCCTGATAGGTCTTTCTTTCAAGGAGAAAACAGTCACTAAAATCACTGTACAATTTCCTACAGGCAATCCAGCCCTCTCTTTTCCTGGGCCTAGCTAATTATCCAAGAGTAAGTGTTCAAGGTATATCTATTAATGGATTAATCAGTCCCATTAAATATCTATACAACTGCATAACAACCTGGACTAGTATTCTCCAACATTTTTGATTGTACACCCCATCAGTAAAGAAGTTTTAAGCACACATTCCTATCTCCAGTATATTGTTGTTATTCAGTCATGTCTGACTTTTGTGACCCCATTTGGAGTTTTCTTGACAAAGATACTAGAGTGGTCTGCTGTTTCCTTCTCTACCTCTTTTTTATAGACGAGGAACTGAGACAAACAGGGTTAAGTGACTTGCCCAGGGTCATACAGCTAGTAAGTATCTGAGGCTACATTTGAACTCAGAAGATGAGTCTTCCTGACTTCAAGCCCAGCACTCTATCCACTACACCACCTAGATGCCCTATCCCCAATATATGTACATATAAATTACATATATGTATACTATGTACATTATACAAAATTTAAGAGAATGAAATAAAGATCAAATCAACAACATTAATAGCCTAAAAATATTTCTGTTCTCACTAAAATATTACTAATACCTTATTGATACTATTAATAATGTTATTTTAGCAAGAACTATGTGATTGAATAAGCTTTAGTAATTTTAGGGGAAATTCTGTATATTCTACAACTTCTTGGCTAACTTGTAAATAATTGTTAGTAATGAATTCTCAATTAATTTGATTCATGCACTTGACAAAGCAAGTGAATTTCTTCTTTTAATTTTTTGTTTGTTTAAAGATATACAATATAAAAATCAAACAAGAGGTCCTAACAGTAACTAAACATAACTTTTTAGGAGTCATGTTTCCCTATACATAGATGGTTATCATTCACAATGTAAAAAAATAACAGGCAAAAGTAAATTGTCTCCCATTTCAACTCAGAAACAGGTGAAGTCTGATGCCACTCAGATGGGTCTTTGCCCAAAAGGTAGGATATAACTGCTTCTGAAAAAATTGTTCACCCCAGGAGGTGCAAGACTGGGATGAAGGGAATAGATCAAATCCACCAAACCTATTTCTTTTAGGGATTTCATGACCTACCTTACAGTCTCCTATTGGGGAACCAGTTACAAAGAGAATTCATCTCTATGATGTGTGAGGTAAACAGAACTCAGCATTTCAGCCATGTGAAAAATGTCTAGTCTCCAATTGGGGGATCTGATTAAAATAATTTTGCAACAATAAATCTTCTGTGAATTCTCCAAGCCTATGGAACTCTGAAGCTAGGGAAAACTCTCGACTGGCCACATCCTCACCACATTTTGTTCTAGTATTAAACTTCATATGCAACCTCCTAAGTTTCTTGGTGTTAAAAGTCTACCACCATCAAAAGCCCTTTGGAGGAAGTCTTCCTCTGGAGGACGATAATGGAGCAAGCCCGAGGTTCTCTTACCATCAGGATAGGTTCCCAATTCTTATCCTCATCCCCCTTTTCCCGCAATATAGTTAGAATCTAACTGGAAGTTAAAACATTCTTATTATAATTTTTTTTTGGTATTTTGTATTTTGCTAGGCAATGGGGTTAAGTGACTTGCCCAGGGTCACACAGCTAGTGAGCGTTAAGTGTCTGAGGACACATTTGAACTCAGATCCTCCTGACTCCAGGGCCGGTGCTCTATCTACTGCGCCACCTAGCTGCCCCAAAGTTAACACATTCTCTAGCAAACCATAAGTAAAAGACCATAGTTTCTATTTGCAACCTATTAGTGTCAACTCCCCTCTATGTCCCCTTCCCACTTATCCCCTACCCCTATCCCATTAGCACTCTCCTCTTCATTTTTGCTGTTACTAAGTCCATAAGCTATCCCTCTATCTTCAAGACATGATCATTGAAAAACAAAAGTACACTCTTATCTATCTCTAATTGCTTAATACAAAATGACAGGATTTTTTTTTTAATTTTGCCTATGATGATGATTAAACTTTTCTAAAACTATTAACAAGGGCCAAGGAATACTAGTTCCTGCTATACCTTTGCTCTCTCTGCTAATCTCCTTAAGCACCTACTGAGCTATTCCTAAAGGGACAGGGCAGGGGTGGGGGTAACTTTCCTAATCCTATTGAAAGGTTATTCCCAAATGCTGCTAGAAATACATCAATACCAGAACTACTAGACTCCTTCATCTGGGCATTCAAAGAACTTGGGCTCCCCTTCTTCTGCAGCATCATTCCCTGAACTTCAACCACAAGGTAATCCAAATCAAATCCTGCCAACTACAATAAATATCTGGATCAGGCCTACCTTGTGCAATTCCATTAATTCAGATTCAGGACTGTAATGCAATGAAACACTTGTGGTCCATAAAATTAACTAAAAACAAACTTACAGTGCTGTTCAAATTGGTTGGGACAAGAAATCATTTTGATATGGTTAAACTGTGAGAGTAACAGCAATGAGTGTATGCTTCTAATGACATTAGGCTGACTCAAATTGTCTGACCCTGAACAGATAAAAACCATATTGGGCAGTCTCCCTACCTTTAGATCACATATCTACACCATTAGAATGTAAGATCTTTAAGAGCAGGTACTATTTAATTTTTGTCTTTGAATCACCAGTATTCAACACTCTAAGAGATGAATAAATACTTATTGACAAATCAAATTTTTGCTTCTACTCAAAATACATCAACATCATCAGTGAAAAAAGATGACAACAAAGTACAAAATTTCAGCTGAATTTTATCTATTAGACTTCTTGAAAGTTTGCATTCATAGGGTTCAATACTTCCATAGTATGTTTCCACATACGAGTTGGGTAAATCTATCAGCCAATATACACGTTAAGTGCTAATTAGCTGGTCCACAAACATCTAAGTTCTGATTAAATCATTATTTTTCTCTTTACCCTTCAATGCTCTCACAATTTATTTCAAGTCATCGATCGGCTACTGTCAAGTGTCGTGATGAGACATAGGAACTAACAAATAGTCTGTGAAAGGGGAAACTGCTACAAGGTGCTAGCTATAATCCTGAAAAGATAAATGTGTTTATATTTCAACTCTTAGCTTCTATGAGATCTACAAAAGATCAAAATTTTTACAGTTAAAGTCAGGAGATATAATTGCAATATATACTATATGTCACAGCTTTTTTCATGTGTTATAACCACAATAAATATAACGAAATTATCACAACATATCTCAGTTAAGTAAGTAGAAGTAGTGATGCTTAAAGTCCAAAAATATTTAGAATAACAATAATAGCTTACATTTATATAATACTTCAAGATTTATAAAGTGCTAAAACATCTTATTTTATTTGTTACTCACTGTAGGCTAGGCGGGGCAAGTGTTACCAATGTACACATAGAAATTAAGGTTCAGAAATTAAACGAATGACCCAAGTTTAAAAAGCTAATAAACATCCTCCCTGCAATACAAACCTAGATATTCTGACTCGTTTTTAATTTATTTTATTTTTAATTTATGGAACAAAACAAGCATTTCCATAACACAGTACAATAAAAAAGATGATTACACATGAAACTGCAAATCTACTATACACAACTTGCTATTCCTTAAAAAACATAAAACAAAATTATCATGTGTATTTTTTCTAACTTTTCTTCTTTCCTCCTCCTTCCTAGAGTTGGCTACCATTAGACACAAATATGTATATATGTATGTGTATACACACACACACATAAATAATTAATGTAAAATTATTCTATACATACTTCTATTTATCAGTTCTTACTCTGGATGCAGTGTTTTCCTCCTACTCCCTCCCACAATACTGGGTTACCTCTTTGATGTAATTTACTATCAGTTTAAGGTTTTCTTAAATATATGAATACTTGAGAAAGAAAATATTTCAGTCACCCAAATGAATCATTAGAATGATTTAAAATACCAAGAACATGAATTTATAAAAGTTATTATTGGAAAATTATGAACTTACCTCAAAGCCAAGTCTATCTTTCTCTTTCCAAAAACAAAAATGTGTAACTTTCTTATCCCAAAATTCATCTGGTTTTACTACACAAACAAGTGATACCTCAGCTGGGACAACATTCTGCAAAGTACATTGAAAATGAAATTCCAAATTACACATTGAGAGTACATAAAAACGGCAGAAGACTGAAAGATAAAAATGTTATCTCTATTATTAGTGCGACTGGTTGGTCATGTAACAAAGACCAGTGAGCTATGCAATTAATATCACTTTTTGGAAAAGATACAAATTTAATACTATATTGGCAAAATTCCAAACTCTAAAACATACTCATGACAAGAAAATAAAAATTCACAGTGATTAACAAAGATTTCACAAACTTAACTTGACTCAGCAACATCCAGTCAATTATTTTGGATTTTATCACCCTTTCAACCAAATTAATGAAGAGATACTGAGGTAAAACGCAAATGCCTAAGAGTTGAGAAATTTTGCATTTTGTAACATGGGCTTTACATGGCATAAAACAATATAGGGTTCCTAAAAGTTTTAGTACAGTTTTAAGCTCTTAGTGTGTTGAAAAATTTTGGGACATCCTCTATATCTCTCTTAATCAACCAGACAAAAGAAGTTCTTTAGAATAAGTAAATTCATTTCCTGGGGAGTGGAGGAGTAAAAGCAGTGACTTGCTTGAGCTCTCCCCCAAACCCATCCAAATACCTGTAAAAAATGGCTCTAGACAAATTCTAAAGCAGCAGAACCCACAAAAAGACAGAGTGAAACACATTTCCAGCTCAAGAAAACCTAGATGGTTGATTAGAAAGGTATATTGCACCAAGTTAGGAGAGGCAGCTCGGCATGGGCACTCAGGCAAAACAGGCCTCAGTGAACCTGGAGCAGGCCTCAGAGGACTGAATCATGGGCAGCTGTGGCAGTTTCCAGACTTCTCAACCCACGAACACCAAAGACAACTGAGAAGGTCAGTAGGAAAAGTCTGTGACCATGGTGAGAGAGAAGGTTGGTCCCAGCCCCAGTCCTCATACGTGGCCCTAGGGTGGCAGCTGTTTCCAGGGTGGCAGGTGCTTCTAGAGCTTCTGGCACACAGACAGAGGGGGAATTGAGTGGCTGATCCGAGGGGGATTGCAGGGATGGCTTTGCTGGTGCAGGATTCTCTTGCTTTGCCTGTTCTTGACTCTGGGTCACAGTTCTGGGTGGCAGTCTTGGGGCAAGAAGGAGTGCTGGCAGGGTGGAGCTTGTAGTGGGGGGGACGGTGAAAAGGAAATCCTCCTCACAGTTCCAAGGCAGAAAAGAGTGCTTATGGTCACTCATAGACCACAGCACAAGCCAGGAAAGGAGTAACACCTCACCCCTTATCATACCACCCTGGAAGAACTGAAAATGTACAGGTCCCTAGAAGTATCTCTGAAAACAGGTGCATAAAACCCCCGAAACTTGGGACAGTACATTCTCCACACTGGAAGCAGACCCTACCTTAACAGAGTTTAAAACTCAAGTAATTGGCTGGGACCATGAGCAAACGTTGTAAAAAAAGTCAGACCAGAGAATCTTTCTTTGGTGACAAAGAAGATCAAAACATACAATCAGAATACAACAAAGTCAAAGCTCCTACATCCAAAGTCTCCAAGAAAAATATGAATTGGTCCTAGGCCATGGAAGAGCTCAAAAAGGATTTTGAGAAGCAAGTAAGAGAAGTAGAGGAAAAATTGGGAAGAGAAATGAGAGTGATATAAGAATAATGAAAAACCAGTCAACAACTTGCTGAAGGAGACCCAAAAAACACTGAAGAAAAGAACACCTTAAAAAATAGCCTAACCCAAATGGCAAAAGAGGTCCAAAAAGCCAATGAGGAGAAGAATGACTTAAAAAACAAAATTGGCAAATGCAAAAGGAAGTCCAAAAGCTTACTGAAGAAAATACTTCCTTAGGGGGCAGCTAGGTGGCGCAGTGGATAGAACACTGACCCTGAAGTCAGGAGGACCTGAGTTCAAATAAAGCCTCAGAATAAACACTTGACACTTACTAGCTGTGTGACCCTGGGCAACTCACTTAACTCCAATTGCCTAAAAAAAAAAAACTTCCTCAAAAATTAAAATGGAGCAATTGGAAGCTACCGACTTTATGAGAAATCAAGACACAGTAATACAAAACCAAAAGAATGAAAAAATAGGAGACAATGTGAAATATCTCACTGGAAAAACAACTGACCTGGAAAATAGATCCAGGAGAGAGAATTTAAAAATTATTGGACTATCTGAAAGCCATGATCAAAAAAAAGAGCCTAGACATCATCTTTCAAGAAATTACAAAGGAAAACTGCTCTGATATTTTAGAACCAGAGGGCAAAATAGAAATGGAAAGAATGTACCAATCACCTCCTGAAAGAGATCCCTAAAGCTAAACTCCTAAGAATATTGTAGCCAAATTCCAGAGTTCCCAGGTCAAGGAGAAAATAATCCAAGCAGCCAGAAAGAATCAATTCAAGTATTGTGGAAACACAATCAGGATAACACAAGATGCAGGAGCTTCTACATTAAGGGACCAGAGGGCTTGGAATATAATATTCCAGAGGACAAAGGAGATAGGATTACAACCAAGAATCACCTACCCAGCAAAACTGAGTATAATCCTTCAGGGAAAAAAATGGTCATTCAGTGAAATAGGCGACTTTCAAGCATTCGTGACGAAGAGACCAGAATTAAATAGAAAATTTCACTTTCAAATACAAGACTCAAGAGAAATATGAAGAGGTAAAGAGGAAAGAGAAATCATAAGGGACTTATGAAGGCTGCACTGTTTATATTCCTACATGGAAAAATGATATTTGTAACTCATGAGACCTTTGTCAATATTGGGTAGTTGGAGGGAAAAAATTATATGTATGTATATAGATAGATAGATCAATAAACAGAGGGCACAATAGATTAGTTGAAGATGAAGGTGTGATATCTGGAGAATAAAATTAAGAGGTGAGAGAGGATTATACTGGGAGAAGGAGAAAGGGAGAGGTAAAATGGGGTAAATTATCTCACATAAAACAGACAAGAAAAGGCTTTTACAAAGTGGAGGGGAAATGGGGGAAGGTGAGAGGGAATGAGTGAAATCTTATTCTCATTGGATTTGGCTTAAGGAGGGAATAACATACACACTCAATTGGGTATGGAATCCATCTTACCCTATAGGAAAATGGGAGTGATGGGGATAAGAGAGCAGGGGGATAATAGAGGGGAGGGCAGATTAGGGGAGGGGGTAATCAGAAGCAAACTCTTCTAAGGAGAGATAGGGTCAAAAGAAAGGAAAGAATAGATGGGGAGGGCAGGATAGGATTAAGGGAAATATACTTAGTTTTTCACATGACTACTATGGAAGTGTTTTGCATGACTACACATGTATAACCTGTATTGAGTTGCTTGCCTTCTCAGTGAGGGTGGCTGGGGATGGAGGAAGGGAGAAAATTTGGAACTCAAAGTTTTAAAAACAAATGATAAAAAAAAAAGTTTTCACATGCAACTGGGAAATAAGATATACAGGAAATGGGGTACAGAAATCTATCCTGCTTACAGGAAAATTGAAGGGGAAGGGGATAAGAGAAAGGGGGCGGGAGAGACAGAAGGGAGGGTAGATTAGGGGAAGGAGTTTTCAGAATGCATGCCATCTTGGAGTGGGGGGAGGGACAAGATGAGGAGAAAATTTGGAACTCAAGAATAAGTACATTCAAACAATTATAGAAGCATTTCCATTTTGTACAATTATTTCTCATGTAATAATATTTGCTTTTTCAGAATGTAAGACACACTAAGTTTTAAGAAATGAATTTAAAGAAAGAAAATAATTACAATAAAAATATTTCAGGATTGTATGCCATTACCTCCCATTGCTCTTATTTCTACCCTCTGGTACCACACAAAACAAGAGCTCACTTTTCCATATGCCTGATCTTTAAATATTTGATGATAGCTATCATCTATTTTTTTACTCAGCCTATCCACATATATGGCTTTCATCCCTGATAACTCTATCCTGGATGTACTCCAGTTTACTATATCCTTCTGCTAACATTTTGAATGACAGTCAGCTAACATTTCTGGATGAAAAGATCCAAAAATATGCGCGCGCGCGCACACACACACACACACACACACACACACACACACACACACAAATATGTGTGTGGGTATCAGGCTAGAATAAAGCCCTGAATCTATTATTAAATTTAATAGGGATTAACATAAAATTCTTCACTTGTGAAAAATCATCCAGATCTTCACCTAAAATGATCTAGGCTCAACGAGTCAATATTATGACACTGTAGCCACAAGTTCTCATCTGAATTTAGAGTACAGGATGAGAGGCTCAGGTTTTTTTTTTTAGCATAAGAGAAATATTACTTCCACTGTATCTTTCCCTGGTCAGAAAATATATGGAGTATTATGTTCAGTCTGGATGTTACATTTCAGGGAAGACATCAAAATTTGCTAATTTCTAGGGACACCAAAAGAAACAAAAAAAACAAAACAAAAAAAAAGAGCAAAAGACAATCCCTGCTCTCAAGGAGCTCACAACATGCAAAAACATTTACAAGGACATAAATATACAAAAATAATTTACAAAGGATTGAATGGAAATAATTAAAAGAGAAAAGATACTAGAATTAAGGAGTATCAGTAAAGACTTCCTGAAGAAGGGCTAACTTTAATTGGAATGTGAAGTAAAGTAGAGAAGCCAAATCAATCCTACCCCTTCATTCATCTCCTGGCTCCACTCTTGATTTGTTGGACTTCTAGATGCTCTTGTGTGGGTGTTTCTCTACTCTTTTCAGTTCCCTGTTCTGTGTGAACTTCTCTCATGAGAACATAAGTTTCTGGAGGATAAGAACTATTTTTGTTCTCCCTTGTCTTGTATTCTCAGTGCTAAGCATAGTGGTGCCAGGCCTGTAGTGCTCAAAAAATGCTTACTAACTTGAACTAACTCGCTTACTAGCTAGTGGGCTCACTATCAGTGTAGGTTTTTGAGTGGAAGCTGGATGATCATTTGTTGGTGATGTAGAGCGTTCTTATTCAGGAGTGCGCTATGAGGCATTTCAAGTTTCTTCCAACTCTAAGAACAGTGATTTTATGATTCCTAAAATGTTATATGTTTTGATCAAGGCCAAATAAAGTATGGCAATAATTGTCTATGTTCTGAAACTATGACTCCTCTCTTTTTTCAATCCAAAATCAAGTTCATTTTTGGGGGGCTGCCATGTCACATTAATGCATACTAAACATACAATCCACTAAAACCATTAGATCTTTTTCACATTTATCCAGGGGTGTCTTGTACTGATAAAGTTCATTTTTTTCAAGTAAAAATCTAATATTTAATATTAATATGTTGTTATGTATAATATGCATATATTTTAATATATGTAAATACATTATACAATATCTAATGTTTCTATATTAATATTTAATATTACATTTCCTCTTACTAGAGTCAACCCTTCATCATCTAAAATGTTACTTACCCTTCCTAGATTCATCTAATTTATAAATTTGACAAGCATACCTTTTGTGCCTTCATCCAACTCACTGATAAAAATGTTGACCTGCATAAGGCTGAGAACATAGCCAAAGGGTACTCTAGCAGACACTTCTCTCCAACTGTACAAACATGCAGACTGTATCTATGGGTCAGATTACACTAAGGTAAGACTTATGGTAAAAAATGACTGACAGTCCACCTGCTCTCAAGTTCATCTCATTTTGTTTTATAGTCATTTAAGGCTTTCAGATCAATGGTCCAATCCCTTCATTTTAAAGTTGAGGAAAATGAGACCCAGGAAGATTAAATGGGGTCAGAGGTGGGTTAACAGTAACTTTACATTAATATTTACAGTATAAGACTTATCTTCTTTAAGAAATAACTGTTAATTCCACTCCTGTACAGAACCTTGCAGCAGCTTCCAAATGATTCTGACATTCAATTAAAATTTTTGATCAAGAGTTTCCATCAACTTCCCCACCCCTGTGTCTGAGTAGTCTCATTCCCTGCTGCTCTCCAAAGCCCCTCTTTCCAGTGAAGCTTCCACCCATTAAGAGGCTCTTCCTCCTACACACTGAGGCCTTTTCCAGCTTCAAAGTCCATTTAAGAATTCTCTCTTTCTCCAGGAACCTCTTCTAAACAAATCCCTTGCAGCAATACATGTGTGTCAGCCCTCCAGTCTGAATTCCCTCCCTTTGTAGTTCCCTACAAGACCTAATAAAATGCAATGCTTAGTAAATGCTATTGTTTGTCATAAGCAAAAGTGAAGAAGGCACAGAAGTTAAATAACCTTTCTTGAACCTAATTAGCTTAGAATGACAATTTGCCTCATTTAGAACTATAACTATTTAAACATATATTCTTAGAAGAAAATGTCACCCAGAAGCAATATATATTAACTACAGGTTCAGAATTCTCTCTTCTTATTTAACTTTTTTAAAAAAGCTTATATCTGTTTTTGCAATGGTAATTAGATCCTTTAGAAGCCCAACAATCCACACAGGTTATATGAACATTCTGGAGAACTCAGTCATTTCTTTAAAGTTCATAGAGTGTTTGGTCACAGAATCTAGGCCTTATAAATCAGCTAGGGAATTCTTATTGGTTTGCTCCTTTTCCAAGGAAATAATTCAGCTATTATAACACTTCAGTACATTGACTAGCAGCTGCAAGATAAAACAATTTCCTTGTATAGTAGGAAATTCAATTTACCTGTAACATCAAGACAACTGTTTTCACCACATTCCACTGTGATTTTCTGCCATCCACTATCACAGTAAATCCTCTAGCCTTACACTTCTCACTGAAATAAAAACAAAAGAAGTATAAAAACAAGCTTCAGATGATATTTTAAAGAAAACTATATTTTTAAAAATAAATTATGCAAAATGCAGCTTTAAACATTCTTGAACACAGTGGGAACCAATTTGACTTCATCCGAGTTGCAACAGATTAATTTCTTTTGCAGTTTCATCTCGGTTTTACCAAGGGAATGATTTTCCTACTTCAGATTAAATTTCATAATTCACAAACTAAATTAGGCAATTAAAATATCAGGACAGGAAGAAAACCCAGTGTTCCAAGCAAAAGCCAAAGAGTCAAAATAACTGCCTCTGGTTTTGGTTTGAATCACAGTGTCTTCATCTGTAAAATGGTAACTTTATGTTAAACAGGGAAGTCAGTAAAATATAATATATACTGACTACCTTCTACTTCCTTAGAAGTATAATTTCAATGTGGCATAAAACAGGCAAGAAATGAAGCATAAATTTGGTGGGAAATAAATGAAAATTGTGTTACCTAATGCACATCTTACACAGTATTAAACATGTAATGGATTGGTACCACATCTATCTTTGTACTTCATCATGTAATTTAGTGACAGCAACACTGTTTCTTATGCTAGAAAAGGTTCTTATGACATAATGGAGAAAAAGAAAGTTTATATCAAGTCAAATAAGAAAGAATCCTAAAGAAAAATTCAAATCTTAATAATATATCATAGTCAAGCAACTACTAAACACCACCTATATACCAAGAAAAATACAGCAGTTTCAAAATATAACAAAAGCTATACTAACAGCCTAATTGTACTAAAAAAAATTTCCTCCAAATGAAAAAAATTGTCTTTTATTCTACCTATTATCATTATGTTGTCTCAGACTTTTTGGAGGGAACAAAAAGCAGTATGTGTTTTTCTAGAAGACAATAATTTGCTATATGGTATCTTAATGACAAGTAACATGATGAATAGAGAACTGGCCTTGATATCCAGAGGACATGGGTCCTGCTTCCTATAAATACTGTCCATATGATTTCGGCAAGTCACTTAACTTCTCAGTATTAACTTTTTTTTTTTTTTTTTGGCTAGGCAATGGGGTTGAGTGACTTGCCCAGGGTCACACAGCTAGTAAGGATTTACTAGCTGAGGCTGGATTTGAACTCAGGTCCTTCTGAATTCAGGGCCGGTGTTCTACCCACTGAGCCACCTAGCTGCCCCTCAGTATTAACTTTCTAAGACTATCAAATAAAGAGAAGGTAACCTGCATTAAGAGAGGAAGTTACTACATCAGGGAATTAGTTCCCTGCCAATGAAATCACAAGTCATGTCAATATTTCCCTAACCTAATGACAAGAAAGATTTAATAAAGGACAAAAAATATTTTTATTAACATTGTGATGTTTGTATTAGAATACTACAGCCCACCAAATTTTCTGAGAATAGGCTTTAATACCTTGATTCTTAAAATTTTTATTGATATCCTTTGTTTTTATACCACCTTTACTTCCAAGCATATCCTCCCTTCTACCCTTACCCAGAAAGCCATCCCTCGTGAAAATAAAAAAGAGGGAGGGAGGGAAGAAAGCAGTTAAATAAAACTAACCAACACATTAACTAATACTGACAGCACGTGCGATGTTCTCTATCCGTAAGGAATAAGGAAGTCAAGTGCATTGTTCACCTCTTATTACTTATTTCACAATATTAAGTTGTATTGATTTTGTTGTTCTCTCCAACTCACAATTGCCATCATTGTGTGTGCTGCTATCCTAATTCTACTTTGCTTCTTTCTGCTTCAGCTCATGTGTCTTTTTAAGTTTCTCTAAATCCTTAATCATTATTACTTACCCAGAAGTAATTCAATTACATTTACATAACACAATTTGTTCAGCCGTTCTCTGGTAGATGAGCATCTATTTTGTTTTTAATTCTGTTTCCACAAAAGTGCTACTGTTAATATTTTGGAGTACATAAGACCTTTCTGTTTTTGACCTTTTTGGAATATGCCTATGAAATGGGATCTCTGGGTCAAAGGGCATGGCTGTTCTAGTTAACACTTAGCATAATTCTAAACTGCTTTCCAGAATTGCTGGATTAACTCAAGAGTCCTCCTTACTATCTTTATTTCAAGCAAAACAAAGCAAGAAAAAGGAGCTTTCATCAAAGTTCCTTAAAATCTGAATTACTGGTTTATTTTCCTAGTGACTTTGACTTAATTTTATATTAAGGAAAACCCTGAATAATAAACTCCAGGAATAAAATTTTTGTTTTTATACATTCCTTTTATTGCTATTAAAATATTTACAGTTGTACTAGAAAAACCAAATTCCAAGCAAGTTCTAGGGGTTTTGTGCTAATCTTAAAAATTAATGTATATATCTCTTAAAACTTTGTGCATTCTCCATTAGACTTTTTATCACAGAGCTTGCCAAACTACTTTTTACTGAGAAATATCATACAATCAAGTATGGCTATAATTTTAATCTTGTAGAAAGAAACTATATGACTATACTATCTCCTAGAGCTGTTGCTATAAGTTCATTTTTAATATTTAAACCTAATGTAAAATCCTGGGTTTTTTTTTCTATTTATTAGGAAAAATAAAATTTTCTTTCAAAAATATAATATGAAGCATTTAGTTAACATATTTTAAATTAATTTGTACTTTAGATTACAAAAGTAATAAAGCTGGCAAGTACCATCTGCAGTAAAAGGCATGAATAATTTTAAAACTATTTTTATACTACTTATCAAAAGTTTTATCAGTTCTATAAAGAGCTGAGTAGCAATGGGGCAAAGCATACAAATCCAAAGAAATTCAAAACTGCAAGACATGGCCTAAGTAGTGGGTTTTTGCACTGTACAAGAAAAAGTTTGCTTATTTTATTAACTCTTGAAGTTATAGAAAAAAATTCTGTATACTCTAGCAACACTTAGAAGCATATTATGCATATTTTTCTTCACAACTAACAAAGTTGTTTGTAGGTTTAAATTGCTTGATCCATAAACTCCTTTTACTGCAATCAACATTTTTATAGATGTGCTTTGAGAAAAGAAGGTATATTTATCACTGAAAAAAATGCTAAATTGCTATGGCCTTAAATACGTTTCAGTGTGAAATTAAGTTCAAAGATAATGATTAAAATGCAAAAGGAAACTAAACATCTAAACTGCTGCTAATATCAGACAAAATCCAAAAATGGCTAACAACGAAACAGCCAACACATAAAGTGTGTATAACAAATAGGGTGAACCAAGAGACATCAACCCAAGAAGGTAAATTTAACCCCATAAGTTTCACTGAAACTTGGAAGGATAGGACTCAAAACAAGAAAATGACTGTGAAAGGATACATTTTATCGAAAAAGAGCAGATCTTCCACAGTTGCTGTCCCCTTCTTCCAGCTACTGCTTTGCTACTCTCTAATTTTCAACTCCTTTGTTCTCTGAGATTACTCTTCTCATGCCCCTTTTTGGGACTGCAAGGACCCTTCATTAATAATCTGCCCTACCTAGAAAAAAATTTACCTCCCACTGTGCTTCACTCAAGATAAGAGACTAGGATGTGGCTCTATAACTTGGAGACATGTCATCATACAGACCTCTGAGTGAAGAAATAGGGAGTAGGTAAGCATCACTAATTAACATTCTCACTTCAATTCTCAGTCTCTTTTCAGTTTCTGCCACGGAAATATAACATAAGAGGTCAGAATCTTGAACTCAAAGACTGAATAATTGTTTTGATAACTTTCCAAAGAAGTATGTACAGTTCCCTGAAAGCTGTGATTTATTGATTTCTAGCGACTTTGATTTTACATTGAGGACTGTCTTGAACAAATTGATAAAATGGGAGGCGAAGAGAAAAAGTTTTAAATATGCTTTGCTGTGGTAGAAAAATTATCATAATTTACCACAACTAAGTAACTACAGTAATACTTGGAGGTCCTGCTTGACACAAGGATATGCATTAAGAAGATAAGCTCAGACTTGCTTGGATAACTGTTTTAAGAGTTGTGCACTAACCAAGTCATTCCTGTTAAACCCTTCCAAATTCCAATTAAAATACTAAAATTATTATTGACTAAATTGGTACTATTTATTATTATAATTATTAGATGGCCTATTAGTTTAAGTTTAATTGATGAGAAATGAACTTGTATTTTTATGCATCATGCTTATACTTTACAGTACAGTGGGATATTTTAGATAATAAATGGATCCAGTATATATTATTATTTTATCAGCTTGAAGTATAATTTCATTAAAATATAATAGATGTTTAAAGTCAATGTTTATTTTTGGGACATAAGGTTGGCCATACCTATAATGTATTTGATACTGCAATCTTAACCAAGTATACAAAACCAAATCATAATTTTTTACAATATAATCTATTTTATAATGATCAACATTATGACATAATATCAAAGAGTATGCTAAGGCAAAAACTGGGAACTGTCTACAGATCTAATTCTAAGAGTAACTATTTCTAAATTTACATCTCTGCTATTATAAGCAAAATACTTCCATACGTTTCCAAGTTGCCTTGCTAGCTAATTCTAAAGCATTTGTCTAAACATAATTACTGGACTTATATAATATGAAACCAAGGAAGAAAGCATTATTAGTTCAAAAAGGATTGAAGAAAAGGTAGAACTATGACTAGGGATATTAAATGTTTGCAATATCTTTGACCAAAATGTTTAAATAATTGAAACAAGCAAGGTTCACAAGTGCCTTTACCAAAAATAAAGGATAGAATATATCTTAAATACTCAGATATCTTTTCCAACAAAAATAAAATCCTTTTAACTTTTTTTAATCTGGAAATCATTTTATATATTTTACATACTTCAATAAATGAGTTAAACATTCCACCTATATTATAACTGTTCCCATTTAAAAAATATAGTATTTATCATATCTTCTATTAGAGACAAATATCAATGCTACTAAAACAGTGTCAAGTAAAATGTTCGATACTTGAATATTTTGGAAATGATGGATTTTCTTTCTTAGATA